CTCTACAATCTCTCTCCTGACCTCAGAAGGCACTAGTTTGCATGACGCCACATTCCCTTTAATACCGGCTAAATGCTTCTTCAATCTGTTGATGCCGGCATTATAACAATTTTTGCAAAACTTGCACTCGATCCTATTCTTGTTCAGAGGATTTGGACAAGTTCCATATTTTCAACCTCGATCGGTTGGCCTACTTGATGCACTAGAAGTCATTATCCTCAATGAATAATAATCGATTGAGTATCAATCAATGTGAATTAAAATCAAGCACCTAATCAACAAACCTATAAAATACATAAGATTAAAAAATTAAGTCATTAACTATTACTTTACATTAAGACTTAAATGAACAATTCAATATATAGGGCCTTAGTTTCATTGCCTTAGTTTCATTTTCACATAAGACTTAACCCATTAAGATATGACATAATCAATTATCTATCAAATAAAGTAAAACAAAAATAATAGAAATAGAATATCAAAACATGACACATTGTACAAAAAGGAATCAACTATTCATAAAAGAATACGATATATGCTCAATTTCATCGTACAAATGAGAAAAAATTCTTTAATCACAAAAAAATCAATCTTTTAACTACAAACATGTAAATATAATGTAAAAGAAAAAAAAGTAAAAGAAAAAACACATAATTCATAACATAATATGTTGTAGCAAAATAAAATAAAAACCCTCTTTAAAATATGATGATACTTTAAAAATATCAAAATCATATTGATGTCAGTGCAAACCTCGTCTATTGGGTCGCCAAAAGTTCTCAAAATCAACTACTAGAAGCTCCAAATCCACCCACGAACTATTGCCTTTGTTTTGGGAAGCAATCGAAAAAATAAAAAAGTTATCGATCTTTCAATAAATCTCAAAAGAGTGGTTTTTGGGGAGTTTTTCTCATCCTAAAAGCCACGATTTTGATTTTGGGGGTTTAGAATACCCCCGAAAACCCCCTTCCCCCCTTTTTAGGGAAGACAAATGACTTTTTTTAACCCTATTCGAGAATTTTTTTCAGACTCCCACAAGTTGTAACTGGGCGGTGCCTAGGTGGGCACTCAGACATTGGCGCCTCGGCGGCACCTTGACCGCTTAGGCGATCTCCCAGTGACAGGCCGCATAATGATCCCTGCCAGACAACACTAAGGCATTGTTTGAATTTTTTCGCCTAGGTGGGTCGCCTAGGCGGTCGAGTGACCAAAGTTTTGAACATTGGTCTTTTTATTCACTTAAATTATTTTATAATAAATGGCCAAGATTAGATTTGATGGATGATTAGGATTGTGTCTTGTTTAGGGTTTTCTTATATAAAGGATGTACTCAAGCATAATGGATCATCATGTTATGAACTTTATTCAAAACCCTAGAGTAGCCAGTGCTTCTTCTTTATTTCTGATTTTTGCATTTCGTTTAATTTTGGATCTTCCTTATCTTCGTTTTTGCTAAGCCTTAGAGATCCAAACTATTAGGTCTACGCCACAATGGGAGCCTATATAAACCCTCCTCTAAAGCCTTTTGGAATATAACTTTTAACACATGACTTAGAACCTAGATAACAACCCTTAGGCTAGAAAAACCCTAGGTACCCTAGAATTTAGGTCATCTGTAAACATTGGCCTTTCAAACCCTTGTCTCTAACCTTTGGCCTTTCAAACCATAGAAACCTTAGGTTCTTAAGCCCAAACCTTTGCAATTCCAGCAGCCATGAAACCCTAAAATGGCTATTGAACTCTGAAAGTCGAAGAATTAGGATGAACATTCATCATCATCATCATCATCATCATCCAAGCCTTATCTTAATCATTTGGAGTCGTCTACATTAATCCTCTTCCATTCTTCTCTATCAAGGGCCATACCCTCAGTAAGACCAAAAGTCACCATATCTTTTCTCACTATTTCTATCCATGTCCTTTTAGGCTTCCCTTTGCCCTTGTAGAGTCTTTCACTTAAACCAAATCACACCTCCTAACCAGTATTGTATTAGGTCTACATTACACATGGTCAGCCCACCTAAGTCTATTTTCCCTCATCTTATTGCTTATTGAAACCATACCTAAGTTCTCTCGTATGTATTCATTACGAATTCTATCATTTCTTGTCTTTCTACTCATCCATTTCAACATCCTCATCTCAACTATGCTCATCCAATAGATATGTTCTTTTATGATTGCCCAATATTCAGTTCCATAAAGCATGGGTCTTATAGCTGACCTATGGAACTTCCCCTTTAGTCTCAATGGATGCATAAATCACATAAAACTGCGGATGCACATCTGTATTTCGTCCATCTAGCTCTAATTCTATGTGCGACATCTTCCTCAATCTCTCCATTCTCCTTGATTATCGACCCTAGATATTGGAAACAATCACTTTTTGATCATCAATCGTAACTACTTCCTAGTTTCTACTCTTGTTATTACTAACCTTGCATACCATATATTCTTCGTTCGGCTAATTTTAAAACATTTAGATTCTAGGTCATCCCTCCAACATTCTAACTTTGCGTTGATCCGCTTCTAGTCTTGTTGAGTCCTTCTCCTTCCAGGGCATATCCGAAAGAGAATTCAGCGCCTCAAAACTATGTCATCCGCGAACAACACACACCGTGGTATGTCATCTTATAGGTGCTTGATTAAGTCTTCCACAACCAAAACAAAGAGATTTGGGTTCAACGCTAACCCCTGATGTGGGCCCATTGTCACTAAGAATTCACTTGTCTGTCCACTAGTTATCTGTACACTGGTTAACGCTCCCTTGTACATATCTCTCTCTATGTCAGTATAGCTTCTGGTGACCTAAGAAGAACATGCTCATTTGCTTCTCAAATTCAAGCAAATCTCTATGGTTGAGGATGAAGACACTTCAGCTGTTAGTCTATTTTGGGCTATCAACTCTGGGTGCCATTCTTTCTTTTTTAAAAATTTTTCAGTTTATTTCTTTTTTTTTTCTTTTCAGATTTCCTTTTTCTTTGTGGTTTTTATGTGTTTTCAAGCTAGCCTTATAGAAGGTGTATGAGCAGATCTATCTTCCCATATACTTTAATTCAATGGAAACTCTCGTCTCTCTATAGTTTTAATTGAATAAGTCGAAAGGAACAGACTACAAAGAGGGGATTTCACCTGAGATCTTCCCAGATTTGGCTGTAAGCACCCTACTATGACCATAACCCCAGTATCTTGTCCCGATATCCTAGATTTTCCTTGAACCTCCAATGTTGCTTTCTTTGCAATGCCCTAGTGGGCGTATGCATAGTATTTTTTTCTTCTTTTTTTTTTTTCTTTGTTCTTTTTTAAAACTTATCACACGTGGCCGTATGCATATAGTTGATTCCCAAAGGTCTCTAAATCTCAGGATGCACACCACCTCAAACCTTACTGCGGGAGTTATCTTCCTTGATGTAAGATATTGCGCATGGTACTTACAGCTGTTGAAGTCACATAGGTACTCATTTTTTCTGGAGCCCCAGTATCTGCATAATCAGCCTAATGTGCATCATTTTGATAATCTCAATGAAATTCATGCGAAGGCCAACCTTGTTCCTCGTGATCTCATTGAGAAAATTAACGTTAACACTTAATTTCAAAGAAAGTGTTTCATTGGAATATTATGAGACCATGCACATTTTTTTTTTTTTTTGGGTAATTCAGTGGGGAAGACAAGCCCCTACCCATTTTTTCAAGTAGATTAGGAGTTAGCTTTTTGAAGGTATTAGTGGGGTGGTGTTAGTGGTGGGAATGGAAACCACAACGTGGTGACTAGGGGGTGGGGTACTACTACCACGATCCATGCCCCTTCCCGACCATGCACATTTTTATGATCAAATATGCAACTTTTAACAAATTAAAAACGAATTCCATGTCCCCATATCTTGGGACCAAGTGCTGGTCCCTATGGTCATCATCTAACTTTGTTGTGTGGGAATGTTTTGGAAGGTAGGAGACAGTCCCATGTTTTATGGTAGTTACTTGACTTCTAGTGGCTCAATGTCAATGTTTCGAAAGAGTCTTCTGAGATACTTAAAGAAACATTTCAAAACCTCACATGAGAATACTAGGCCATCTAAGGCCCACAAAGATCTCTCTTGAGGTCCTAGAGCATTCTGGAGGAGGTAATCTGTTATGTGACCCTAGATGATGATATTTTATAAAATTTGTGACTTAAGGTTCATCACCAAAAGACAATCCAATGATAGTATTTGAAAGTGTGCAGTACATAGATATATGGTAGCATAATATTTGTGGGATCAGAATAATCCAATATAAAGATGCAAAGTTACGGGTCTGGGAGAAATGTCCCTGATGCATCTTGAAGATGTGTATTTGATATGCACACGTCAAAGTTTGAAAGCAGCAAAGTAGCTTTCATGAGGCCCAGAATCAGGTCTAAAAAGGTTTTAATAGCTAGCAGGTTGAAGCTGTGTTTGTATCTCATACACATGGTGAACCTGTGTGCGCCAACAAACAGAATAATATTTTAACATTTATAAAGATATGGGTTGTTTTCTTCTGTCTGCAAATTCATGATGTGTAAAGTACTGTTGCTTTTTCTTTTCTATCCTGAATAAACCCACATCCATGAATCAAGCAACCCTAAAATAGGCCATATACATAAAGTGTATGGGTTACTTTTTGGCCAAGAAAGAGGGGGGTGTATTTTGCAGTATTTTGTCCATTTAGAGAATATCTAAGTCAAAAATTTCTAGATTGAGGAATCTCAGAGGTCTTTGAGAACTCATTAGTGGCTTAGGCTATTTGTCAAAGGTTGCTCCTTGGTTTACTTAATTTCTTGTAACTTTTCAATTTATTTCATTTCTTATATTTTGCGTCTAACTTCATGTTTTTGTGATTTGATGTTTTATGTGAAAAATGTTTTTTGTGAGTTCATGTACTCTTATGCCATAAATCATGTTGAAAAGTAAAATTACTTTTAAGAATGTCTATCATATGTTTAGGTATCTGTCTTCATGATTGCTCTTGCGTGTTTGATTCAGATGCGAGGGTTACAGTCTCACTTCAAAAAGTATGTGTTACTTCAACAAGGTATATGGGACCCCAGATGATGATCTTTTATAAAATTTGTGATTAAAGTTCATTACCAAAAGAGAAATCCAATGATAGTATGTGAAAATGCACAGTACATGGAAGTTTGATATCATGATATTTGTGGGATCAGAATAATCCATTATAAAGATGCATAGTTATGGGTCTGGGAGAAAAGTCCCTGATGCATCTTGAAGATGTGTATTTGATATGCACACGTCAAAGTTTGAAAGCAGCAAAGTAACTTGCATGAGGCCCAGAATCAGGTCAAAGAAGGTTTTAAAAGCTAGCAGGTTGAAGATGTGTTTGTGTCACATACACATGGTGAACCTGTGTGAGCCAAGCAGAATAATACTTCTTATTTATAATGATAGGGGTCATTTTCTTCTGTTTGCAAATTCATAATGTGTAAAGTACTGTTGCTTTTTTTTCTATCCTGAATAAACCTACATCCATGAATCAAGCAACCGTAAAATAGGTCATATACAGAAGGCATATGGGTTTCTTTTTGGCCAAGAAAGGGGGAGGGTCTATTTTGCATATGAATTTTTACTTCCATGTCTATTTAAAGAATATCTAAGTCAAAACTTTCTAGATTGAGGAATCTTAGAGGTCTTTGAGAACTCATTAGTGGCTTAGGCTATTTGTCGAAGGTTGCTCCTTGGCTTACTTAATTTCTTGTAACTTTTCAATTTAGTTCATTTCTTATAGTTTGTGTCTGACTTCGTGTTTTTGCTATTTGATGTTTTATGTAAAAAATCTTTTTTGTGACTCCATGTCCTCTTATGCCACAAGTCATGTTGAAAAGTAATATTAGTTTTAAGACTGTCATATGATTATGTATCTGTCTTCATGATTGCTTTTGATTCAGATGAGAGTGTTACATTATTACTTCAAAAGGTATTTGTTACTTCAAACAAGGCTTCCTTTTATAACACTATGATGAGGTATTCCTAAATACTGCTGTGGGAGGCCTCCAGTAGATGTCCTTGTGATCTTGACATATCATATTCTTTGAGAATGTCATTCACAAGTTGATCTCTTTTGATTTTTCTTCAAAGGCCAATTATGACCATTAGAATGATTTAGTGCACAGCTTTGAAAGCTTCTTCCTGGCCTTTCCCTCAAGTTTCAGGTAAGATATCTAGATTGCTAAATAAAAAGTATTTCAAGCTAGGAATGGTTGGCTGGGTTACTGCCTACTCGAGAGTTCAGGAGGTTAATATGTTTGTCTTGTGAACTTGTTTCGGTTGAAGGTTCTTGATTTAGTATTTATTTATACCCCTCAGTTAAACTGGGCCCATTTCCTCAAGGTTGAGTTGAGAAATTTTCAAATGCAACTTGATTATCAGCGACACTCTTATCAGCCAGTGATTTTATGGTCATTCATCTGTTCTTGTTCTATACATAACACATGCATTCTTTTAGTAACAACAAAAACACAAAAACGATGTATTTTGTTCCTAACTCTGTCCTTTTGTGTGCTGCGTGGTCTTTTTACATGACTCGAAGCTATATGATGTTCTTAAATTAGATGCTATCTTTCATCATAGAGAAAATGGTTAAGTTATTGCAAGCACTTTCACATAAGCTATATGAATTGCAGTTATATTTATTGGAAATGTTACTCATCCAGGGGCCTTGTGATTATCGAATTTTACAATTTGAGGTTCAAGTTTCAAATTTTGACAGTTGCAATTTGACGAACTATGGTTTGCTGAGAAGGGGGTGTTTGCTTATTCTAATTTAAACCACAATTTCATATGATGTGGTACAACGGTGGTGGAGTGGTGGTGGTGTTGGTAGTGCCAATGGTAGTGGTTGTGGCGGGGTGGTGATGATTTCAAGAGAGTTGGTGGTAGGGCGGTGGTGCTTTTGAGAGAGAGAGAGAGAGAGCAAAAACCACACCCAGTGGTTTTGTTGATGATTGCAAATAGGAGATCAAATTATTATTCACTCCCCATTGCATTCTGAAAATCAAAGATATCTGAACCCTTAAATGGTAACCGGTTAAATTCTTGGCAGCAATTTCGATGGAAATCAAATGGAACCTTTGGATTATCTGAATTGCTGTCAACAGTTCCTTGGAAGCGTCATATCCTTGAGTTGCCGATAGCTCCCTGGAACTCTGGAGGATTTTTTAGAATCTTCAAACTGCTGCAAACACTTCGCTGGAAATGTGAAGACACTTCTCTAACGTGTGAAGGAGACATCACAAACATAAGTGCGCGGATATTTTTATGAGTTTCTGTGATATACAGATAAAACTGACAGACAGCTAAATAGATATAGCAATAATGGCAAGTTTTAAAATCATGATGTTTTAAAGGTAGCATGAGCACACCGGAACCAAAGACTTATCTCTTGGTCCCTTGTCTTTGGAACCATTGGTCCAAGTACCAACATGCCTTACAAAGTTATGGCGCTGCCAACTGCTCAACACCAGGGTTCATTCCAAAGGTACCATGTGCATCCAATCCAATCAACTTCCCTATGCTAGATGCAGTTTAATTAAAATAGTTAATCAATTAAAAATTGCTTAAGTAACAAAACCTTTTCAAAGCGACCTTAGCGATCCGGGCAAGGGACCAAGGGGCTAGGAAACTGGGGGTAGTCTTAAGTCCGAAATTTATGAGGTCCTATGAAGCAGTAGAAAGGTATTCGGCTGGGAATTTGACAACCACCATCAAGGGAGTGCTAGAATTTCTCTCTACTTGGAGATCAGGAAAATGATTGCATTATTCAGGGACTATGAGGAAATATCTACCTAGTCCTAGGGTTATATGTCAAAGAAAAGAAGAGGAAATGATATCTTTATCTCTCTCCACTTTCTCTTTCTATAACCTCTTTCCTCGCTCTCCTTTCTTCATCTGATGCCCATCTTCTTCCGCAGTCGAATCCGTGACAAAGAAATCAGAAGGCATTAGCCTAACTGATATCGATTAAAGGATCTCTCCAATTAAACCTGAATGATCTCGACCGTCCTAATTTTTGGATCATGAGAGGAAAAATGAAATTGGAAGCTGGGGGATATCCTGAATATTTAGGGGCAGCACTACCATCTTCCAACAAATGGTTTGTTCGAAGACTCGGAAGACCTTTCTTTGGATTGCAGCATGAGGTCCAAGATCTTAGGGCTTCAGGATACTAGATGATTCCTGGTCCCAGCAGTCCGATCCAGCGCTAGCTCAGCTCTTGAGAATCAATTAACTCAAAATGCACAACCTCAAAACCATAGTAATAAAGATTTTCTTAGCATAGAGATTTCAATTTGAGAAGAAGCTAAAAGGTTAGCCATTCCATGGGGAGCACCTTTAGTATTGAAGAGACCAATCCGAAAAGGGCGCATACTATTTTCACAAAGGAAGTTGGTCAAGAGTTTCTCAAGAGTCCGCATTCAGATGGTATTGATCATTAAAAGAGGAAACAATACTGGTAATCTTAAACAAACAAAGAAACCAAGTTATCCACGTAGTCGAAGGCAAAGCAGAGGATAAGCTCAACCAAATCCTTGTGGCAAGGGATCCTTTAGACCATGTTGAGGACAACCTTCGCTCTACGTCCATAATTCAAAAGCATAATGAGAAATTGATTGTCCTTGCAATGAATAAAGACAATCAAGGTGGAAAAGACCAAAGTTCAAAAGGACATGCATCTCCTCGACAACTAGTGAATGAGGCAGATTCACTTGAAATACTTAGAGGCCCTCCTATGTCACCTTAACCAAACTTCCTAGCAAACCTGCCTAGCCTCTAGAAGATTCAATTAAACCACACTTTAAAGCAGACTTAATGGACAACAATAACAAGGTAGAAGGACCAGATTTGCTGATTCCTGAAGAATAAATCCCTCCTCCTTTGCAAGAGGCAAGGAATTTTAAGGGGGCCACCTTCACTACACCAAGTAGTATTAAGAGCCAAACTTAAGGGGGCAACTCACTTAAGTGGGAAGAAGATTAAATCGAGCATGTCTAATTAGGCTCTCCTCCTAGGAAAGCTTATATAATTGAAATGCATTATTAAAAAAAGAAGAAACCTAGAATTTAACAGGGGCAGGGGCATGACTAAGTTAATTGGGGCACCCCAATATCAAGAAGATCTACCCCATAGGACATAAATCTCCACTAGTGTAGGAGACCCAATGAAGGCCTTTCTATCTAATAAAATTAATAGGGGCAACCTCAACCGATGAAAGGAACGTAATAGGTATAATAGTTGGGGTCATGGGATCCTCTGATGAACCCTAAAATGCCCCTAAAATACCACAATGAAATCAAGCATTGATTTCATTATTCTCCTCGTATAAGAAAAACACGAAGTTTTAACTAATAAATACTATAAAAAAGGATTAGGGTGAAGGTTTGCTTATTTCAAGAGCTAAAAGTTAAGTGAGGCATTCATGCCCATTTAGGCCCAATACTCAATAGCATTAACGCCCAAGGAATTAGAAGTAAGAATTATCCTTCTATAAGGAGAGCATGAAGAGCTTAGCCACTTGAGCAAGATATTGAAGGACTAGAAAACTGAGGATGGATCCAAGTATGAAAATTTGAGGTTTGAGTACAACAATTCAAACCAAATTCACTGGAAAATTGGCAATCATCATCGAGGAGATGTTGGATACCATCCTACGATTAAGGCTGATATGAGGGTGATTAAGACTAGAACATCCCTGCCACTTGGAGAATGGGAGAAATGTTCATGTTCGGAAAGGGGATATTAGGAAGTTGTTATCAGTTTTTAAGATGAATGTTATAGGGAATTTTTAATGCACTTGTATCCTTGGTGCGAATAAGGAAGGAGCCAATCGCAACCTGGTCCTACGGGTATAAAAAATGCATGTGGACCACGTGATCATTGTATAAATAAGCCTATTTTTGGGTGAACTCGAAAAAGAATCGCATCGGCCTCAAAATTCAAGGGAGGGTAGCTTTGGATGCCATAAGGAAAATTCGTTAAGTTTTTTTGCAATCCGATAATTTTATAGCCAATCAGGATGAAACTCGGTTCGCGTTTCCAGTTCATATCATATTGAAAATACACATCATAATTAGGGCCCTATTACCAAGGAATCTGACAGCCGTCAGACTACTGCCGTTAGATCTGGGACGTCCAAAAACCCCCAAATACCAATTTTCGGCTCATTTGGACCTTTCAAGACCATTATGAGCCTAACTTACAATAAATGAGTGGGTTTTACACTATTTTGGTGTAGTCTCGGTGAACTAGTTTCCATTTATAGAAACCGTGACATCCAATTTCGAGATTATATTGTGATGATACCTTTCTCATTTTATCTTGTGATGATAATTTTGAGATTATCTTGTGATGATCGTAACTTTCTCATTTTAAGGCCAATTGCTCTCAAATTTTGATATGTTTAGGAGCTTGTCAAGCCCCTCGTTTTTATATATGACACGTCTCATGATGATGCTCGAGACAAAAGAATTTCTAGATAGAATTTGAGTTTTGAAACTCATGTGTTGCAGATTTTTAAGAAGAGACATCCCATTGTTCAAGAAGCCATATCTCGAAGCCTCGACACTAGATCGTTGCAAATATGGGTCCGTTGCGATCGTATTTCAGAGGGCTTCGTTTT